AACAGACGAACAAACTGTAGGTTTAACGGGTGAATTTTTATTATTATACCAAATGTTAAACAAGAAGATTGATTTTGTCGACAAGAAGATTGATTTTGTCGACAAGAAGATTGATTTTGTCGACAAGCAAATTAATTTTCTCAACAATAAGATTGATTATCTTGACACAAAAGTGAATCAGTTTGATAGAAAAATTAATTGTATCTATGAAAAGTTGGCTATCGAGAGAATTGTAAAAACCTTAGAATCAAAACACGAGATCACATTCGATATTGTCAATTATCCCACTAATCGTGTCTTTTCTTCGAAAACAAAAAATATGAAACAATTTTTTTCCGATTTTGCCGCACGCATGGAAGAAAAATACAAGTTATGGAGTAAGTTGTTTCTAAATTATTTGGATATTCTTGCATGTTCTTTTCTAGTCCCTTTCTCATCAGAGGTAATCTTATTTATATCATATAATTTTTATATATTCTAGCAAATTATCCACAACTGGTATTATCCCGGAAACCAGCACAATTAGAATTCGATATGATTGGCTTTGGTTATAAACGGTTGTCAAATAAGCAAACACCAACCAGTGATAATCAATTTACAACGAGTACAAAACATAAGACCAAATTAATAACATCACCAGTTTTTGCTGAAGATTATCAACGACCGTCATCATTGACATATATTAATCGATTCAAACAATCCAGAGTCAACCATTTATTAGTATTGGAAGCCACCACTAGTAATGTTGATTTTGATGAACAAATATTACCCATGTTTATGCAACAGACATCAACAGCATGTAATAGTGATATTTTTTATAGAATGAGGACATATCTGCACAAGCTATTACAACTGGAGCGGCAACTATATTTTTTGTTTCAATATTATTATCCATTGAACATGGAACAAGTATTTGCCTATCTATCTTTGTTCCAATACAACATGAATGATATTAATCCGACAACTATTCTGGAAAAAGTGTTAAAATCAGACTTTCAAGAGTGTATACCGTTAATAAATGAACTACACACAAAAAAAAGATTTTTTATTATTTATTAATTACACTAATAGGCTTTTTTACTTCTAAGAGCATAGGTTGAGCAACTCAGTGTTAATCCTACTCCGGATCCGCTGCAACGTCAGATATCGTCGTTAAAACTTAACAGTGAAATGTTTTTACATGTAAAACAAGAGAAAAAACTATGACTTTGGTCTGTCTGATAATATAG